GATAGTGCAGACGAAAAAGGAAGAGGCAAAACAGAAAGCTTATGATCGGGGGCCTGGTTTTATTAAAGTCTGAAAACTTCCTACACATGCAGCCTCTGTTATCTTCAGCACGAAGCTTTGTCTACGGTTTATCGGACCGTATAAGGTGAGGCCAAGCGGGGCCTCGCGTATACGCTGAACCTTTCAAAACGGATGCACACCCACCAGGTGTTTTACGTGGGCTTGCTCAAGCTGTACCGGGATCCGGCGCAAGTGAACGGGGAAGCGCTGGCGCCGGAGTGGAACTCACGGGCCCTCGGCCACCTAGAAGCTGAACCAGCAACTGATAATGGCGTAAGCTCTCCAGCGTCGCTCCGACAGAGCGCGGTAGTCCTCAAGGTGAGGCAGCCGGCGCACGACGTGCTTCATTTCCTATAAGAGCGTCTGCAAAGCGATATGCTACTTCAGCATGACGCTCAGCGGAGCTCCGATCACGAGTCACCGGACGGCAGTCAACCTGGTCGGCACCACCCGCCATCGACTTCTCTCGATGAGTACGGTGACGTCCACTATCGCGTGGAACGTCTTGTGAGACGACGTCATCACCAGGGTCAAACCCAATATCTGGTGAAGTGGCTGGGATATCGCGACTCCGAAACTCGTGGGAGTTTGAGACGCCACTTCAGCAAGATTGCCCAGACGTCGTGAACGCTTTTGATCAGAAAGATTAGGACGCTCGCGCTTCCCGGCAATAGCCAGGAAAGTAGAAGGGCCATGAGCTGAGCTCAAGCAGTGGCCTTGAGCTTTTGCGGTCGCAGACACAGAGCTCGCGGAAGCGTTAGGGGTTGACCCATACGTCGTAGGGCGACAATTCAAAGGAAGTCGACAGCGTGCCTTGGGGTTGGCAGACTCAAATGGGAGGTACTCACGTCTACTTCCTTGTGGCTCAACTGTAAGTTATACAGTGAGGAAAATTTTCGATGCGGTTGCACCCATCGCTCAAAGAGCGCTTCGTCATCTGTAGCGCTTTCGCCAGTGGCGAGGACTACAGGTATTGTCCGCTTTGCGGGTACACGAGAGCCACCTCGTTGAGCACTCAGACGAGTGCGATAAGCTTACAACGGAAAGTCTTGTGGAACCAAGAAACGAGCTCGAAGAGATTTCCGTTCGGCAAGCTCATCTTTCGTAATGGCCGGGGGCCCTATGATGTGGAGGCGTAACGGTCGAGCTATCGCGTCCTTCGCTTCCACAGCGGAATCCGCCGGGCCGAAGCCAGATTCCACACGAGGGTCAATGACCGGCCGTGGATGGGCGCGCATCAGAGCCGCCTTACGGGCAGCTTCCAGCTGCCGCCTCTGTGCCCCGTCGAGGTCATTGGTGATTACACCACGCCTCTCAGGTAACGAGAAAACAGGAAACAGATATGGGGTCTGCGAGGCGCGAGCATGGCTCGTATCCCGCCGCTGGTGCAGCTCGCTTTCCTCGTCATCCCATGTGGAAAAGGAGTGTCAGACTGTAGTCGACCACCTCCACATCCTCGACGAGGTGACCCGTCACTGATAGCGTGCGCGGAGCGCGACGCTCGTGCTAATCGAGCCTAGGATGTACATCCCTCGGTGCCGCAGACGCACTGTCTGACATTGCACCGCGTGCGGGAGACGAAGTTGGGCTCTACCCGAGTTCGGTGTCAGAACCAGCGAGACTTGGTGACTTCAGTGTCGTTGACACAGGGCTCATTGAGCACGGAAGTCGTTCTGTTCCAACGAACCAAGTTGTAGTGTCTAGCGGACACGCAAGCCTCGGTGAGGCAATAATAGATTGGAACTGTAAACGTTCTCAATCTTAATGGGGGAGAATGTAACGGGGTTACACGTACCCTGGTAAGAGAGGTGTGTGTCACACGATATGGGCATGGTGTGACCGCATCCAAATAAGAATACAGTACGTGGCTGGGTAGCCTGTAGTTATGCATGTATTTAGATATGACTATACATATTTAGTAAAATCTATACATTTAAAATTAGGCGGCTTTGCCGCAGATAATATAAATAAAAATCAGTGTTTGATTCGAACGCACGAGTTTATTAGCCTGGGGTTAAAAGAACGTAAGCTCGGTCACCTAATTACGCTTCCTCTAAGCGCAAAGCTACGGCAATCCCGCTGCAAAAACAGTAGTCACAACAGCCGTCTTACCCGAACTCGGATGGTTGATACCGCACAGCATGATCGTGTCAGCTATAGGCAAGTTCTGATAAGCAGAATTGCGCGACGGTTAAGACATCTATACCGGAATCAAGAACGCTGTCTTCAGGTGGCAAGCGATAATGAGGCTTTGTATTTGTTATCACCGATTAATGTGACCTATCCCACAAGTGCACATGACCAAAATTTTACTGAGTAGGAGCCCAACAACGTGTTGGTGTTATTACTCCACCGTTTGTTCTGACGACAGCTATCCATTGAGCACTTTTAATTTTAAAGATGTTCTCTGCAGAATAACGAAGTGTCCATTCTGTCACGCGGCCAATTAGCTTGCTGATTGGGAGCAAGACGCGCTATTACTTCGCCTATAACAAGGCTAAATTTATATCTTTTTGAGCTTCAATAACCCACTGAAAAAGTCATTTTACAGACGGCTGGACGCTCAGTAAGAAAATCCTGGTTATACTCTAGAAATGTTAGGTTTAAATGCCCCTTGAGGTGTCTCACGAGCGCATTTCGCTAGCTGATGAGCGCCTTCAGGCAAGCGATAGTCGCTTCTAGGCCCAACCGCCAATTGAGCTATCCACTCAGGTCCAGCTGGAGACAAAATCTTGTTTAGCCTGTGTGATTACCCCGAGGACACATAGGAAAAACATCCTATTTCGTTCTCACTGAAGATTTGGTATTCTCATCGAGAATACAATTTTAAGGGTTACCAGATACAAAAGGGATGGCGTGGGCTACCAGATACAAAAGGGATGGCGTGGGCTACCAGATACAAATGGGATGGCGTGCCTATCAGAAACAAGCTTTGAATCTACGAGTCCGTATTCACCAATGCACGCAGAATTGACTCGTACGCACCACCCAGACCCAAAAACGAGACCTTCTCGAGTGAAATGTATCTTTAGAATGACGTACTTACAGCTGGGTCTAGTTCATATTGGTACTCACTACACCTTTTTCACTGCTATCATGAAAATCCTATCTTATGCATTGCATGAGGCTAGCGAATCCAGCCCTCTTCCATGGAATCGATCAACCATTATTCAAACCGATTACAATGCAAGATACTGCATTATCTAAGGCTCGCAAAAGCAACATTTTATCTTGGGCGTATACCCCATTTGACTTCGTACCCCGTTACATAGGGAGTTAACGAGTTTTGAGTTTACCATATCAAATACATTTTATAATCTTGTGCTGTGTATACATACAAACCCACCTCACAATAATTCCTGTATTCATTAACCATAATTCGCTGTCTCGATGTTATCGTCGAAGCTCGCTCGCTCATAAGTTTTCATGTACAGAACCTTGAGCAACAACTTAATTGGTTATGACTCTTGCGGGTATATAGACCATTAAGAGAGTATTCAGCACCAGTAAGTTGTTATTTTGCGCGAGCTTCTAAGCAAGCTTTGTTTCCGGATTGTTTATCTAGCGTGCTATTCTTCTGAGCGCTTGTAATGCCAAATGTAGACGATTTTCTCCACAATTGCAAAATATTACGGCGAATACATCGTGTCCGAAGCCACTTTTGGGCTTGAATCTGTTATATCTATAGATATATTTTCAAGTGAAACGAGCATCATGCTGCGTAAGCTATTTAGCAGTGGAAGGGCTCCCGATAGCACCACCTCGTCTGCTTGTTTAAGTTCGGCAAGCACAAAAAGTAAGGACCATGGTGATCTTAAGTTTGTTGACATGGTGACACGTCTCGAGCTGTTTGAAGGTGATACTGGACACTTATTAGTTTTGTTTGAGATACATATAACTTTTGTTAATTTGCCGCAGCTGCTCTGAAAGACACAATTAACAAGCTATCGCGTCACTGCCAAGCCATCTGTGGTGAGATTTTTCAAAAATTTTAAGACACGAGTAAAGGGCCACGTTTGACTTTGCGTTCTCTTTCAAGAAATGGTAAATTCTAGCCGTGAACTCGGATCGTGTCTGCAGTATCTTTATGATAGACAGGAGGTACCAGTAGCAGATGCGCATACGCTTTTAGAAGATATCTCAGCGTTCAGGACAAATGCAATTGCACCACTTCAAACTCTATTAGATGGACTTGCACAGATCAAGGTTAGCCTGTTTATCAAACGTACACTCACAAAGATTAATCGACACTATTTAGCTTAAGTGTGAGTACCGCAACAGCGCAAAGAGTATAATGGATCGATACGAACAAAAGGTGGTAGATATGGAATCAAAGACTCATCACGTTTCTTCCCGTCTTCGACGTGTAGGTTCAAATGAGGTATAGGATGTCGGCAATGCTTATAACTTTTGTTTTGCAGAACCGAGCTAAGCATCAAGTCGCTTTTGCACGTTTTCAAGTGCTTGATAGCGAATTAATTACAGATGCAGAAGTAATCCTTGATAATAATCTCCAAGAAATCGCTAGTCCGGCTATTGAAACGGTAAGTATCTGCTGTTGCTTATGACTTTACTTCGAAATTGACACTGTTGTTGACATGAAAAGTTATTCATTCAGCACCAGGCTCTTGCAGCTCATTGGATGCAAGCTGGAGTCATAAATCTTCAGAATCATTTGAAAGAATGTCGAACCCTTGCGACGGAGAAAAAGTTAGAGCAACAGCAAAAGCAGGCGCAGGTGGACGCACATGACATGCAAACGAACGATGCTGAGGCAGACGATAGATTAAGCGACAATGACATGGGTAGGATCAACAATGGAGCGATTACAAGCTTGGAAAATCATATACAAAATGACAAGCCATCTTCACCACGTTGTCCAACACCGACAATAATGCAGTTTAATAGGCCTGATTGTACCGTGCCCGACAACAATCTTGACCAGGAGCAAAGCATATTTCCGCGCAGAAATCTCGTATCCGGTACACGGACGTGGAAATTACAACGTCAAATGAAAGATTCTATGGCGTCTGGACTGGATCTTGTCGACTGTATCCAACTGCCCGAAGGATGCCAACTCGACGAGTGGATCGCCGTGCACGTGATTGACTTTTTCAATGAGATCAGTTTGCTTTTTGGCACGATCTCAGAGTTTTGCACACACAGCTCGTGTCCGGTAATGTCTGCAGGGCCATGCTATACATATTTGTGGGCAGACGGTCTGCAGCAAGTGGCGCCAATTTCGTTACCGGCTGCGGATTATGTAGAGCGGTTGCTTGGGTGGGTGGAGAAGCAGCTTGACGATCCTAAATTATTTCCTGACGCCTGCTCCACTGCTGCAGGCAGCAATGCAATCAGAGAGCGCAATCCCAACTTTGTGCGAGTCGCGTGTAATATTCTAAAGCGCCTGTTTCGCGTGTACGCGCACATGTACCACAATCACTTGCAAAACTACGTGGCACTGCACGCTGAGTCGCATCTGAACCTTTGTTTCAAGCGCTTTATTTTGTTTGTACGACACTTCGAGCTCATCGAACAAAAAGAACTTAATGCACTTCGCAAGCTCATCCAGACACTGCTAATCAAGCCCGTCGTCATGACGAATGTCTAGCACAGCACATCAAAGCTAATACAATGTACCCATCTAATCTTTTAGGAGTTGCAAAATTTGCAGCGGGTTTCTCATTTATCTTGTAATTTGTATAAAATTTTGACCCGACGGGTCTGCGGAGGACATGGAACAGTCATTCCCAACCAGTGCGGTGGACGTGGCAGGACAAGAATCAGCAACCGGCTCAATTTCCAAGACACTACCGCGTCCCGAAGCTTCGTTTAACTTTCGATCCTGGCGCAGATATGGAGCTCTCAGAGACGGAGGATGTCGTCTCTGTCTTCTTACAGGAGCTGCGTACGTCTTCTTTGTAGACTAATAATTTTGCCAACTTGATGTATGCTCTAACCATCATTCTCATTCCGCAGTGGGCGGAAAGGAATATAGCGAAGCGGACGCCACACGTTTGCATATCAGACGTCCGTCTCGGCTTAAGATGCTCTTTACTAAAATTATCGGCATTCTGGACGAGAGTGAGCAGATTCGCGCGCTCGAAGCACTTATTAGCCTCGTGCGTAGCAGTTGTGGCAACGTGGAGGCATGTTCCACAGCCGGCCTTCAACGCGAAATATTGGGTTTTCTTAGCGAGCGTGGTCTTTTTGCAGGTCCTAGTCTGCCTTTAACAGTGCTGAAAAAGCTACTTCGGGTGTTCTTGTATCTGGCTTTCCACTCAGTTAACATTGACGACATCCAAGCGATGTTTGCGGTTTTTCGTAGTATGCGCATGGTGCACGAGGAGCCTGATGATCAGGCTGTGAGCTGTTACTTGTCAACCCTCGAGCTGATTGCACGTGACTCATTCGGGCCCGCGTCATTCTTCGATCTAAATGGCGAATTGTCAGGTCTATTGATGCCAGTGCTACCAGCTTTTCCAAATAATGGTTATACTTTCTGTGCATGGATAAAATTTGAGCTGTTACCAGAAGAAGTCGCACCTTTGTTCACATTTGGCGGTAAAACTGGAGTGGGTATCATGTGCTCGTTTCTGCGCTCATCGCTAATGATTACAAGTTTTGACAAGCGCAAGAATGACGGACATGTGGAAGTACCGGATCTCGTGACGCCAGGTAGGTGGCACTTTTTGTGTATTACGCACACTCACCGTCAATTTCGTGGATCCAAGCTGGATGTTTATTTGAATTCGGAATTGCGTCAAAGTGTACGATTAGCATACCCCAACACAGCACTCATGGCTCCTGTTGTAAAGGCATACCTGGCAATGCGCGAAAGTAATGGAACCAACGCTTTACGTATTTTACTTGGTCCAACGGCACTCTTTGGACAGGCACTTCCAGCCAGTATCATAAATAATATTCGTAGCGTGGACGAGTACGATGCGCTTGTATTCCAGTTTAACTCATATATTTCGTCGTCGGCCACATCATCGAGTGGTGGGGTTAATGGCACACCAGGTTCGTCCGGAGGATCGAACGCTTCCGGAATCTCCACTGACGGACTACTGCTCGCCTATGACGCCCGACACTGCGACCGCCTAAAAGGTTTGTGCTACGATTCGAGCGGTAACAATTACCACGCAGCTGCTGCTAGTGCCGGCGTAAGGTTGAGGCATGCAGGAACATTCAAACAAGCAGTGGCACAATTGGGCGGTCCACTCATCTGTCTACCTTTATTAGTTACCTCGACTACCGCAGCCGTAACAACAGTGACTGCTCCAGCTACAGAATTAGTTGTAAATGGTGACGATACATCAGATACCTCGTCTACTGTACTAAACACTTTAGTGGCAACAAACGGAGCATTGACGACCCAATTTGACGAGGATTCGGACTTTCTTCGACAAATGAGCGATCTGATTGCGCGTCCGATGGGCGTGCGCAGTATTCCAAAAGTTGTGTTGCTGATTGCGGAAATCATGCGTCATTCCCTGGTCAATAAGTTTATTTTTCGACGCAGCCAAGGTGTACGTCTAATGGCCCTGCTGATACGCTCGCTGCCCCCGCATTACTTGACAAATGATTTATTAATCGCTATTGAGCGACTTCGTAGTGCTGTGATCACTGACCGAATTTTGGCAGACGAGATCTACAAATTTCTGCTATTCAACTTCCGCATATGGGTAAATGCACCGGTCGGAATTCAAGAAACGATGTTTGACAAACTAGAAATTATGTCGCGCAAGGACAGTAAAAACTTGTCTCCAGCGTCAACACGGCACTTTTTGCGCTGTCTGTCGTGGATTTACTGGCGAGTCTCCTCATCAACAACACTTCGAAGAGCGCGAGAATTCAAGCCTGAAGAAATAAATCTTCTTCGGAGGCGCGTGTTGTCAATGATCAGAATTGTATTATGTGAATCTCTACCAGCGAAAACTGCAGGATCCGTCATGGCTTTCTCGGGAAAGGGCAAGGAAGTGAAGTCTCAGTTGTCGTACGAAAGCACGAGGACCCTCATATTCTGCATGATTGGAAAGCCGAGCAACCCTATGATTCCAGGAATGAATATTGACGGAACGCCAATCCAAGAGATTACATCAACAAATTCAGCATCTGATTCGGCGACTGTTTCTTCTTCATCAAAAACTAAAAGTCTGCCTGAGAGTGATCTGGATGGTAGTGGCTCAATCGTCGAAAATGTACCCGAGGCAGATTTGCCAGACCTGGTGCAGTTGCTAATTGAGCTGTCTGTTCAGTCCACGGCTCCTTCTGGGATGCTTGAACTATTTGGTAGACTAGGTGGCCTCCGAATATGGTTGCCGCTGTTAGGGTTTTCAAATGATGTCATTCGTGTGGTGACACTGCGCTTGCTACGTACGTACCTCTATTTACGATGTGAATGCAGTGAAGATCCGGAAATGGTGAATAGCCCAGATAAAATCCAGCTTTCCGTTGGCGACGCATATTTGATTATGCACTCGCTGAAGCCTGAGGAATTACCTGTCTCCATGGGAGTCTACTCTGAAATTTTGCTTATGATGCTAGGAGTTCAAGTAACCGAAAAAGACATCCAGACACTTGATGGGAAAACTGCTGCGTACGACGCTCTTATCGACGAGAATGTTCTCACTACTGCGATGATTTGGCACGACAACATGATGCCTGCTTTCCTAGGCCTCGTACGGGCCAGCTCTGTAACTATCCGCATGATTGCGATCCGCCACCTCAAGATTATTTTTGCTTCCTCCACTGCAGCCAGCTCTATTAATCGCCACGTCCTTATCTTTGGAAGTATATCCAGCATGGGGGGCACTGCTACCGAATCGTCAACAACAGAGCAGGTGCCTATCATCGAGGCCATTTTGAGTCTTCGTGGTGATCCACAGCGCCATTATGAGAACATTGCATCCCCACCAACTTCGCTTTTTGGTATCAAGCTAAATGGTTGCCCTGGAGTACCTATGAGTCGTCTGCGAGACATGGTGCTTAACACACAAGAACCCGATGAAGTTCGCGTAAATGCGCTGTATTCTATAATAGTGCAAGACGATGTTGACTTTGTTCGCGGATTATTGGCACTGCACGGAGATGGTGACCGTAAAAAACAGGGTGTGAGTGCAAGCTGCTTCAACGACATGTCAAGTCGCATGAAATTAGCATTAGTAGAGCTGATGTCCGTATACCAGCCAAGTGGGTGTGTGGATTTCATCACTTTAATGTCTTACGATGTGATCTCATCTATGATCTGTCTGGAAGTGAAGCAGAATGAAATGGCGTGGTTTTTGCTGCAGGATCCGTTTACTACTCTTTCTCGCTTCATCTCCTCTACCGAAGAACTTGAGGTGGTCGTGGTTTCTTTACTTAAAACTACATTAGACAAGATGAATGAAATGCTCTCCGCGGAGATGAATTTGCGTTTTAATGAAGGCACGCCTTCGCGCGAGTCGATTTTATGGCGTAATGCTGAAAGTTTGGCATCGCTTGCAGCTGCTGTAGTGCTTCACTATGACCCCGATACGCTTGGAAAAGTTGATCCAGGTAATTTAAAAAATAGTTCAGGCTGGGATACCGAGAGTGTGACTCAGGTATCAGTGTTTTGGAAATGTGAGCGTGCGATCTGGCACGAGGCCGAATTGGTGGATTCAATTTTAGGTATTTGGCAGCACTTTGCATCTCATTTTCACTCAGATTCGGATGCTAGCTTTGCGCGACGATCCAGCAATTCTCACCGTCGTAATAGCAATGCTACTCGTCCAATAGAAAATGGAATGAACAGCCCACCTTCGCTGGCTTCTGCTGCTCGCTCAAATGCGGGCTCGACAATGCTTGGATTCGGCTTCAATCGGTTACCCATCGGTGTGACGCAAGGCCTGGGTAGTGCTGCTTCACCGCCAGCCACGCTGCCTGGAAAACATAATATATCTGCACGGCCACATCCTGGTGGACCGATGCGACAGATTCTTCAGCTGCTCTTGCGATGCTTGTACCTTGTCCTTATCTCTGACGATCACGAGACTGCCACTCGCGGTGAAAGTATTGACAACGACGAGCTTTCTTCCGTTAAACTTCGACTTCCTGCTAACTCGGTTTTTTTTCAGCGAATTAACAAACTCGAGTACTTTATAAACGCAATGGGTCTGGGGCACGAAATTGCGCAATTTAATTCGTGCTTCGCGCCTTCTCGCTCTGGTTCAAATGGAATGACCACAACGTCTGGTTTGGTTACAGCAAGTGAAAGCGTTAAGGCTGCTCCTGGAGACGAAACTACGCTGTTGCTCTGGCTTATTCCAGAGCTGTCGTCGCTGATCGACCGTGTTCGACGGAAGTCTTGGTCTGAATCGGCAGTTAAGCTGGCCAGTATTCTGGCATCGCTAGTGTCCGTTCCGTTACGTTCTTCCGACCAACTAGCCGAGCTTCTTGACCGTAACGAGTTTATAACCAATAATCAAGAAGTACGCCGACGCGACAGCTTTTACCATGAACAAATGGCTCATGCGCGCGATATTCGAGCTTTGCGTCGCGTTGGTATGTTTGACGAGGAAGCGAATGAAAAGAAACGCGCCAAGCTTGAGCTGGCAAGAATCAGCAAGTTCACTCGCTCGCCGGCTTCGTTAAGTTGCTCATCAAACGAAGGAGAGGAGCATGTATGGCTTGAACGTGTAAAGGCAAAGGACATTGATGACTGGATGAAGCTTCGAGTGCTGGCTAAGTGGGGCGTTCGCCATGTATGGGGAGCTAAAGATGATGCGGTTGTGGACGCTGTGGGTGATGGAACTATTATCGGTTTATGGGGTGACAATGAGTTCTGGCGTGTTGACATTTATACATCAAGTAACTGGATCCGGTGTCGTCTGCTCCCTGATACAGATGATACGATCTCTTATCGATTTGGCTCGAATCTTGCCTCCTCCATTTTATCCAACGAGATATCAACCAATATTGTTGACGAATTGGCAATGCCGTCAGTGGACTCTATTGTGGTGGATGATGCAGCTCTTTCTGCATCAGGTGAATTAACAGAACAACTGTTTGAAGAGGAAGAAGATGATGATGAAGCCCACACAGTCAGCAGCGGCGGCGACGGAGAGGATCCTGAAGTAGCTGAATCCGAAGAAAATGACTATATTGGATTAGCTCGACGTATTAGTGACGTGGGTTATTTAGATGATGACGGTACACCAACTTCAACAAATCAGAATGGCAAAAGCGACGATGCTACATCTCGTTTGATGCTGCATGATCGAATCCACAGCAGCGAAATCGCGGGCGACGTTGTAGATGCGACGTTACGCTTGAATGCCATGGGTGAAAACGTGGAGCTTTTGTCAACTGCACCATTAGCCCCTTTGCCACCCGAGGGTACTGACAATGCCGATTCGAACTCATTATTTAGAGATCGTCGTGCTGTTTCTGTTGATGTGGCAAGTACAGTCAAGTCGGCGAAGGGGCGTATCGGCACAATGTCTACGAGGTTTTCTACTGGGATAAAGCGTTTGGCGAGTGCACGTCCGACAACTCTGCTGTCAACAGCTGGTTCTGAAACTTCTGGATCCCACAGAAGTATTTCGAGCGTTTCAGAAGAAAGTGGCGATATGCAGGATCCACAGGACTCAGGCTCACCCGATAAAGCAGGGGAGGAAAGGCCAGCCCCAACGAGGAATGAGCAGTCAAAGCCAAATAGTCCCAAAGAAAAAAGTTCGTCGGGCCCGGCGTCACGGATGATGAAAAAATTTCCAACCAAGCATGACCATTGGAAATCGCTGGGAGCGCCATTTCGCACCAAGGCGTATTTGGTGCTTCCTTCTGGTGTTTTGGTGCGTGGTGACCTTCGTATTGGTGTCGCGACTATTGTCTTTGAAGGTGAACGTGTCGTGACACTGCGTGGAATCGCGGACTCATTTAAGTCTAATGAAGATGGAGGCGTTGCTGCTCGACAACGCAGCGCTCAGCGTCTTCACGAGGCTTATGTGTCACAGGTGAAGCGCCGGGTCTGGGGAGTCCGCGTAATTCGTATAATTCATAGACGGCGATTCCTCATGGAGGGTCAGAACGGCCTTGAAATTTACTTTGTGGATGGTAGCTCGTGTTTTTTCGGGCTTGAGAATAACGGAGAGGCCGATCTAGTGTATGCTACTCTTAAAGAACGCAAGCCGCCATGCCTTGCAAAATGGGGTAAGCGATTGTTATCAGCAGAGAGAATGCTGTCGAAGAGCAAGTGGACTGAAATGTGGGTGCGCCGTGAGATAAGCAATTTTGAATACCTGATGGCACTAAATGTCTCGGCGGGGCGCTCGTATAATGATCCTTCCCAGTATCCCGTCTTTCCATGGGTATTAAAAGATTACGATTCATCAGAGATTCGCCTCGATGATGAACAAAGCTATCGTGACTTGCGTCGTCCAATTGGTGCCCAAACGCCTGAGGCTATTCAGCAAGCTCGTGCAGTTTACGAAGGTTGGGATCCCAAAACACCTATTCCGGCGTTCCATCATGCAAAAACGTACTCGCACATGCAGTCAGTACTGTATTTCTTAATTCGACTTGCGCCTTTTACGAACGCAATTCTTGGAAGCGAGGAGCAGCTTATTCACCACATGGCGGCCAATGAACCGACATTTAATTCGGTGGCTGACGCCTTCCGAATGTGCACAAGTGATGACCGAAATATGTTCGAGCTAACGCCGGAATTTTTCTACTTGCCTGAATTGTTTTCAAGTGCTCGAAATAAAACTTTAGCTCGACACTTTGCACCGGGACAAGATGTTAGTATGACGGCGAGCTTAAAGCGTGATGTGGCACTTCCTCCATGGGCCGCATCACCGTACGACTTTGTGCGACTCCATCGCCTGGCACTAGAGAGCGATTATGTATCCAGCAACCTCCACCACTGGATTGATCTGATATTCGGGTACAAGCAAAATGGAGCCATGGCCGTGGATGCATTAAATACATACCATATCGCCTCTTATCCAGAGCGCCTGGATCTCAGCACATCGAGCGACGGTGTGCGGGCAAAACTTGTGCAGCGAGGAACAGTTCCAATTCAACTCTTTCGTAAGCCGCATCCAGTGCGCATGACACAGGACGAGTCATTAGAGGCTCGCTTTCCAGCATCACATAGTATGGCCATGCTTTCTTCGCGTCGACAAGTGCGTCGTTATGATCTTCCATCTAAGCATACCGCTGCTGTCAGGAGTGTGCATTTTTCGAATGCCTTAAACCATGCGGTTGCACTCACTGCACTTACCGGATCAACACCTGGACTCGGTAGTGGCACAGGTATGGGTGCCCACAGCACTGGAAGTAACGATCATGGGGTTGTTGTGTATACGACAGATAGCGACGGTGTCGTCTTAGCGAAGCGCTACATGAATGCTGTTCCCGACACTGTGCGTTCTTGCCCATTTTCGATGGTTGATGTAGATCAATGGTGGAAGCTTCCGCCCGGATGCCTTGTTAGCGAAGGTGTCGTTTTCTATGAACAAATGATCAGTTGTGGCTACTGGGATGGTAGTTGGCGTATTCACTGGGCAGCTGATGGTGAACTGCTGCAGCGGATCGCCTTTCATAAAAAGCCGATTTTGTGTATGGCGCGGAGCGAAGACGATTTTACAGGAGACATGGCGCTGGCATTTGGAAGTGAGGATTGCACTGTGTCTGTTTGGGCTTTGTCTAAGCTTTCGGCATCTCGCTCGCGACGTCTCTTTTTAAAAAAAGAGCTGCCAGTAGGTGGTTTACCATGGGTTCTGCTTGTTGGTCACACGAGTCCTGTGGTCGCTGTGGCCCTAAATGTGGATTTAGACGTCGTAGTCAGTGCCTCAAAGGACAACATGCTATTGCTACACTCGCTCCGCGGCTCGACGCCTCTGCACGCACTGGCGCTCACACCTGGACCGATGGAAACATCAGCTGTTTCTCACATGGTCATTTCGGCCCAAGGGGATACTCTTGTTCACTCCATCACAACCCACAAGACTCAGAGAAGTGGGCGTTACTCTCGAGCAAACTCAATTTTTTCCGATGACAAGGCTCAGTTGACGGTTGGAGAAACTGGCAGCGGCAATTGCAGCATGGTAGCGGGAGGTCTTTCCAGTAGCGGTTACGTGGCAACAATGGATCAACACGAAAAACGGAACGATGGCTCTGAGCAGCAGTCTGAGCTGTATATCGTCTCAATTAATGGTCACGTAGTATCTCACGATAAGCTGTTTACAAAAGAGGAGGGAGAGTCGACTGAGGAGAACGATGACAAGCCGAAAGTGCCGCAGTTACTGCTCGAGCGTGGCGTACTCTTTACGCGATCGGGAGAGTATCTGATTACGGCCTGCGCCGGCGCTGACGCAGCTATCGAAGTACGTGATGCAGGTATGCCTGGCTCTGTGGTTCGACGTATTGAATGTAAGAGAACAAATGCTGAGCTAACGAGTTTAAGCATGGGCCAAGACGAGCGAAGCATTTTATGTGGATACGCTGATGGCGCAATTGTAGCCTATGCCCTTCACTTTGGAATAGCAGATGGTTGCAAGAGTCTAGTTGGTTTGGATAAGCAGGCACGCGAGCGCGAGCGCGCTGCTCTCGCACAGGCTACAAAGCGCGATTTGCTACGTAGCAAAAGGCGAGAGGATCTGATACCGGCATTTTTCCGCAGCAATGGTAGCGCTGAGGGCACCTCTCTGTGGTCGCGCCTAGGCAAATTGGGCATGCCGGAAGCGCCTTACATTACGCACATGCAGGAGCGCTTCGCCCTACTGAAGCAAAGCTGTGTTACTGGAGAAGACAAGTTTGAGAAAATGCTTTTTGCCCTTTGGACGGCCATCTATTCGCACGAGCCCTTAAGTAAGGATAAATTGCTGGAGGAAGCTCTGCAATTTGAAAGAGTCGGAGAATCATGGAGTCGATTAGGATTTCAGCGGCCGGATCCGACGACCGACTTTCGTGCTGGTGGCATGCTAAGTCTCGACTGTTTGGTGTACTTCGCCTCGCATTATACCGATCAGGTCGTGCGCATGGTGAAGAGTCAGGTGCCTGGATCGCATGATCACACGTACCCGTGGGGTCCTGCTGGGATCAATGTGACATGTATGGTGGCTCGCCTTTTCTGGAAGTTTGACGGCGAGCTGGTCCGCGAGCAACAATCAAACTGGCCATTGTTTTATGATAACGAGGCATTTCATCTGCTATTTTCGGAGGTGTTTGTGCTTTTCGATTTCCTGTGGAATGAGATGAATGCCAACTATGGCAACTTTTCTGGTACGTCATTTGTCAAAATTAGAATCTAGCTTCTACTACAAATCTGACAATTAACCTTTGTCTACGCAGTGGTAATGCAAGCAACTAGCGATCGGATCATGGAGGTATTGGAAGGGGCTCAAGGCGACATTAACGTGATCCTAACGGAGTTACGGTCGCAAAGTGTACCTACTGAAAGCAAGCAGCGACAAGAATTGTTGCGCTCAACGGCGGAATCTCTGACTCCAATCAACGTAAAAATACCTGGAGATGTGAATGTGGTCAATGAGGGTCTTACTGCCCCAGATGGCACGAGCTTTCCGCCTTCCACGCCTCCAAGTAAGTCGCCACGGTCTACGTGGTCATTTACTAGTCGTTTAGGTCTCGGCTCGCTGAGCTCGCAACATGTCGGGTCAACTTCACCTACAGGAACGACGATAACTCCTGATGCAGCTACCATTCAATCTTCGAAGAAAGTGTCAATCCCCGCAGCAGAATCAGCAAAATCATTGGTCCCGGACGCTAATGACTCGTTTGCAAGCAATAAAACTAGTGGATACGAAGAGAAGCCGCTTTCATCATCTCCTGTACAAAGCGACGACCCCTTTGCGTGTCTGATGTAAATCATGTAAGTTTAAGGTAAGCAGTGGCTCGTTGCAGGCACATCGTCAAAATCGCGCCTGCTGGCATGCCAGAAAAGAAGTGCAGTTCATTTAACACTAAAGAGCTCGCGTATTGCTGAGCGGTTTAAAACTAATAAAGTGGCTATTCCTCACCAGAAAAGGTTGTCGATGCCAACCTCCTCGTTGGGCTTCCGCCGAAAAACCGCTAAGTATTTCTTCCCGCCACCACGAGCGACTTTTTTTCCTTCCTCCGTTTCCTCTGTCATGGCCTTCACGCATGGGTCCGACAACTGCAATAGAATCAAATATGAAACAAGCTCTAGCAATTTCAAACAAAAGCCACGTACAAGCTCACTATCATCCATACGAATGAAACACGGGTGGCTGGAACACTTTTCCACGTGCCATTTGTGCAATTCTTCTACGTCCGTTATGGTGTAAAGAATACCACCAGAAGCCAGTAGATATGCATACTCAGCAAGAAGTGGTGTACTGAGAGAATAGACATTATTGACTTCCTGCCAACTGCTTCAAATCATAAAGTAAGGCCACTTACTGAACGATGCGGCGGCGGTGCAAACGTGCTTTGAATTGTGGATCCGGAAAACAGAAAAACATCTTTGTAATTTGTCCTTTGCGAAAGTAATGCGGCAAGTAACGCATAGCATTTGTGCGCAGGGTCGACACATTCTGATAACGACCAGGATTTTCATTGCGAAGTGCCTCAATGCGTAGACGAACATACTCGGTCACTTTGGCACGGATCTCTAAAGCCAAAGTCAATTTATCTGGAAATAATTCCGCTAGCTTGACTGCGAATAACTATATCAGCACTAAATCGTAATGCCAATGATGTCATACATATCAATGATATACCTGTGAGTCCACCAAAACCGCACCCAACGTCTAAGAAATCCACGCTTCTGCTTACATTAATTCCACCACTTGATCAATCGACAATAATTGCGTAATAAGTGCAAGAACATACGGATTTTCGATGTTTGGATAATGAGCAGACCAGTCCATTTTGTCAGGTGTTAGCGGACTATATGCCAGGTAATTGTCAATATACGACATATCTGTCATCCCTTCAACAAGAATATGAACGTACTAGTCAAAGCAGTCATTATGCGACAACGGATTGCAGTGTGCACGTGAGCGATAGAACTTTTTCTGGGGAAGTTTGCTCAATGTCTGAGCGTCCGTAACCTCCTCTGGTGTTTCGACCATATTGCATCCAGTCAAATATTATTGTTTTTATGGTTCCCTTGATACAGTGACGTTGCGTTTCATATAATATAAAACTATTATTGCAATGGCGCCGAAATTGATAAACTCGGTTGTTGACGACATTCCTATCGGCCGTTGCGAGGAGTGCGGAAAAGACGCAGTGTATTTGGATCGTGTGCTCTTGTGTCACTTCTCGTTGAGTGTGTGCATTAATTGTAGACAAGACCAGACGCTTCATCACGGAGCTTTTGAGCTTTTATCCAAATCTCGTGCTCGAGCTGAGTATGCACTACCAGACTCGTCCTTCTGTGGTTTACCACATTTAAACAAACCAAATCCTCGACATGAAGCTTTTGCACCACTTCAACTTTATTTGAGACGAACTCTTGTGCAAGAAGCTTATCGTTTGTATGGAAACGAAGAAGGACTATTACAAGAGAAGGAAAAACGAAAGAAACGAGCATATCGATCGGCAGCAAGAAGGACGAAGCATTTATTGAAGAAACAACACATCATGCATTTAAATAGAGATGTTACTGAAATGGTGACATTCAAGAAAGAAATGAAAAATACAATAGAGTTCAAGCCAGCAAGTGAATCGGATCATCGACATGAATATGGTAAGGAATGTTTAATTGACGAAAAAGCCAACATTTGGTTCAAAACTTGTGGCTGTGGAATGCGTGTGGAATTTGAAAAATGGTAGTTAACTGCATTATATTATTAAATCCCGTCACTTGGAAATATTTATGTTCATACATCAAACGTCTTTTACAATTCTGCTTGCATCTTTCCACGTTACGTTCTACCAATACATCCTTTGTAACAAGCAGTCATATAAACTGCTAACCCAGTAAATGCCACCATCTGGAGGTTTGGACTGATGGAGTATGGGTGAGTCATTGCTGTACATGCTTTTTTATTTGCTTGGACGGGTTTCCATGGTACTCCACGTACATTCACATAACTTAAACAACAGTAGTAAATAGGCTGCGTGTCCTCGTCATCATTAACAAGTACAAATGTCTGCGCTTGGTGCCGTCCAACAAGTGTCACGCGCATGACGGTGTGTCGACTAGTTGCTACGTTTCTTGGTAGTACAAATTCTTGTAACGTCATTTCGTTTTGTACTTCATACTCGTGCGTTGAGTAAAAAGGTTTGATCACTGATGCAGACATGTCTAACGAATGATCTCTCCACCTCAATGCTTCTTGTTGTGGTATCTCAGTGACATCGTAGAACTCAAACTGAACTCGTTTAGGTGCGTAAGTAGGACTATCCGGGTGCCAGAAGACGCGATAAGGAACAATTTGTACTGCCTTAATCACACATGGTCCATTTAAAGCATAGTCGATATATTCAATTGCATTCTCGTTTGTTGAAGCTGAACTGCTCCAATAGCACGATTCGGATGATGAACAACCACAACGATGCTGAATACGTTCACCCAATCGCGCCAACTCTGTTTCCTCCTCTAAATTTCGTAGTTGTAATTCATACAATTCCATCCAACAATGTGAAGACGTAAGTGTGTTCAGTGGCGATTCACTCGGCCGATCAGCAGAAGAGAATGCTTTCACTCCGCCTATCAAGTGCGTGTTATCGGTAGCAGTGCATTGTGCCAAACACACTAGTTGTTTCCATACATTAGCATCACTCAGTAGATCGCTGTAGACCACAGTCGCGTCCGCTAGACGTTTCCACAATTCTTAAAGTAACTGCATGCGTTAATGTACTGCAAATTTAAGTTCGAGAAGAAGAGAACGCACCATGTTTACGTGATAGAATTAGTAAAGCGTGTGAAGTTTGCTCAGCTGCATGTAGTGCACTATGATCCAGAAATTGTAGCACATGAAGCTTAAGCACAGTTGGGAGCTCGTCCATGTCGAGTTGACGCTTTTACTTTTCTTCAAGTTGGCAAGTGTCGTTTGAATAGTATTATTCTTACTTTAGAAACGACCCTCATATTTAATATGAGAAAATGCAAGGTCGTTTCTAAAGTACAAATTTTGTGCTCATCCATAACGATAGTAGATGGTATTGGGTAGAAATCCACAAAAATCCATTGATTTTATACTTTAAGTTGTTTTTGATATTAAAAGTCAGCACTGCACATTATTTTTTTAGGATTATTTAATGATTACTACTGCTTTAATACAATTAATTAGGTTGTTATTATTACCAACAAGAGACGTTATTGAATACCGTTAATTTGTCAAAAGCTTTTCAAGCTAAAACATGCAGGGGAAGACATCTATTAAAATTACAAACACTGAGGGTATATATATCCGGTGATGCTACTTGTAATTTTGTCTAGATATGAGTGGAGTATAAAGATGATTAGGGATGTCTTACTTACGCTTAAAGTAGCAATGAGTCTCAAGGCTCAAGTTGTGCTTCTTACTGAACCTAGCAAAAACCAATAATTATCCTAAAATTGATGCACGTTCATCATATATTCGTATACAGATAAAGTATTATTTACTACTGTGATTTTGACCAATAGGAACTTTTGCTTTTAATGTATGATATATAACAATTTACCAAGGGATTCCAGAGCTTTCGAATGATAATTGTTGACGGAATATTACTACGCAACGTCACCCATGTCGTATTGTCGTATTTTGTAATGAATTTCTGGTAAAGTTTATCCATTTAAGGTTTATCGATCTTAATTACATCTCGGAACCCGAATTTTGTTTAAAAACAAATGTCTTGGGATTCGACGCTTAAAAAAGCTTTTATTACACTTCCTTACATTAACATTTCGCTTCACACTTCATCTACTCGTTCATTATTGACGCTGGTATTCGCTGCAAGACTCGGCCTTTTAATCTAAATTCTCGTATGTTCTATTGTGACGTTTGTTTTCTTGTGACTATTACTGAGCAACTGATGGATTTATTAGCCTGGCTATCATGCCTGTATGATTTCTTTTTCTTCTCATTCATGGCTTTTGAGTTCTGTAAACTACATCTTCAAATTGCACTTAGTAATAATAAGCCATAAAGAATAATTGAGATCAGCCGTCTCTGTCTGTCTGAGATATTTTCAAGAAGCCTGATAAACCCTTTGATGACACTATATCTACCAAAGAGAGCGGAATATTCTGGAGACCACCTGAGTGAGGTAATTGTAGAATTGCCTCCAATATCCTTGTTTGATATATGACAAATATGGAGTGTCTTATGCTACGATTTCGTAAAGGCGATGCCTGTTGTAATGACTATGAGCTTTATACTACAAGGACATCAATCCTTTTTGAATTGATTACTGAGCAATTTCTTTCTGCATATTCCTCACAACGTCCTGATCGCTGTTGCCTCATGCATCTTCTATTTACAATTGAAGCAAAGGAAACACTATGCCCGATCTCGGTGTAATGTCGGCCGAGGAGGTTAGGGCTACTATGCCTTGCTGCTTGAAAAATACATTTTCAAAACCTTTAAAATCAATGCAAATATTCTCCTATATATAATTTTAGTACATATTTTGATATTATCCTTCGCGCTGCAAATACTCTTTCCGTTGTGTCCAATGCGATGAGTGTGTATACACATCATAAGCGACTTTAATTGCTGCATGGCTTAAACCAGTTTGGTTTTAGAAATAAATGCAGGCAATCGAGCAGTCATTTCAAGCATAAATTACTATGTTCGTTTGAGTCTCAGTTTTTCTACTTATTCGACAACAAGTTGTTATTATCTGTATGTTTCCACAATCGATCTCTTTACGCGTTGTGCAATCTGAACCTGTTTACGAGCGATAGAAAGAAACATTGTGACATTTGTATCATTTATGGTCTTTGTGACGGTTAAGCGTCTTATGATGGTGTGATTTTTTATGATGGTGTAGTTTTGTACGTCTATCAAAAAAAATTTCGAATAGCTTTCAAACGATTGTAGATCTCATTCCTCTAGATAAGCCTGAAAAGGTGGCCATGGTCGCCTACATTTTAGTCCCGAATTTTAGATATCTCTTTGTATAAGGGAATCTGTGCTGCTTGTACAAACAAATGCCTTGATCCAAGATCTGAGTTTAGATTCACATACTCAAAGCTTAGGAGCACATTTTCACCTTCAGATGCAGAGCAGACCACTCACTCCTTAGATATCTGAAAGTACTACTGAACTAAAATGCTGTCGCTTCTGCTCTATTAGTACATGAAGAGCTACAGTAGCTAATCAAAGGTGACACCGCTCGCGTGTACGTTGTAATAGAAGGGTGTAGAAACGGGTCGATGGACATTGTTTGAATAGAAAAAAAAGAGTTCATATTGAATGTGGATGAGCAAGATTCAGACTTTACTTTGAAAACTCTCCACCTTTGGTGATATCATCAAGAGTGATGATGGTGCATTCTCGTTGTAATCTCGCTTCGGATTCTACAGTATGAAGTATCTGACAAAATGCCTTTGCAATGTCCGTGTTGTAACACTCGTCTATGAAATAGTGTGTGGTGTACGAGCTGCATCATGATACTTTATCAAATAACACGCACTGGATTTTCGAGACAGATGGGTCACTCCAATCACGTATTGGTTAAGAGAGTGACAGTATAAGCACAGTTTCTACCTATTAAGTCAAAATCACAATAAAATTCTGCAGCTAGAGATAGCGGCATTGGTACCACCCACCAGCCTTTCATTTGCAGGCTCAAATCCAAAACGTATGTTAACCTTTTCAGACATTCTTATCAAAGTTATTAGAGATCTATGAAGCTTATGTGTAAGTAACAAGATTTGGAGTATTTTAACACGAATAATGTATACGCATTAAAGGCAGTAGAATTCGCGTGACAGTATCATAGTGCTTAAAAGAGAGACAAATAACATGTTCATATCTTTGTAAAAGACGATTTAATGTGCCAGATCGCTCTCGTTTGACGTCGTCGGATGGGCATGATGCATCTACCATCGCGTGAACATTTTTTGATTACGAGCTGCTATTTCTATATTTCTAAAATGAGAAAAAAAACGTAACTGGCTTTTCGCTTTAATTTTTTTGGATCTGATCTCCGACGTGAGAGCCCGAGAAGTCCCGAAAAAAGATGACATTCGCAGAGTAATTCACGCTTATATAATGTTACAAATAGTTCTCGCCTCCCTGGACTATTATATCACACAGCACCTGTATGTTCCTGTAAAATATTAAAACGACTTGACTAAATTTTATATTATACTATCGCCTAGTCCACTAATCATGTTAATACATTTGAGAATAGCAATCCAAACATTCAGGTGACATTCTACTAAGCTTTTCAGTACCTTCATGTCTTAATGTTTTACTAAACGGAATTCCATACCTTTATGTTTTAATGCTCTACGAAATCAATACAGTATCTCCTACAAGTCGACAACCAATAACTACGAGATGACAATAACGAGACGACAACAATTCTCTTAAATGCTCATGTTCCATTTACCGTACCATAGCTTTCCACCCACGACATCTTCTCCCACTCTTTTGTAACTCACATTGAGTACGTTCCCCTTCAGCTTATCAATCGACACACTTTTAAAAGTTTAAAGGTTCAAACTTCTTCATTTCCAACTGGATCAGACTCGACAGTGCCAGTACACGATCGTCTCGTCTACTCAAGTCATTCAGTCCGGCGTATTCATCACCAGCCCAAATGCAATCCTTACTTTCCTTTTCAGAACGTGCAATTGGTCAACACACCGAAGTGATCGTTCATTCTACGATTTTCCAATTCGCACTCAAGTGGATACTTGAACGCACGTAATCACATTTGAGGATCATGATTCCTCGTGCCTACTTCAGGCCTCAATTAATCACGACAGTCTTCATTTCAATCCTTTCGCTGGTCGTTACTCTACCTTTTGATCATTCGACAAATATTCGAGAAAGTCTGGATGAAAATGAAATGACACGTCGATTAAGTGGTGGTGGTGGTGGAGATATGAACAAAACGATACCATTCAATTCATTAAGCAATTTGGTTGATACTGTGCAATATGTTGCGGCATTTATTGTTGTACTTGTTGCCGCACATCCACTTGCTCTATTCTTTCCCAAGTTTTTCAAACTTCCACTCATTACGGGATATCTTGTTATTGGAATCATATCTGGTCCCTTTGCTACGAATCTCTTAAATCGTGATGTGGTTAATATGTTAGCACGATACGTCAGTGCGCTTGCTTTATCTTTCATCTCGGCTCAAGCAGGACAAGAAATTTATCTTCCTGAACTTCGACCAATTTTATTTTCGATTGCGAAACTTCTTGCTTGTATGTATGTAACAGCAATGATCATTCAAACAAGTGGAATCCTGTTATTGGAAGAAACATTTTTCTATCGTGACATGACTTTTAATTGTCAATTGGGTATTGCGTTGATGTTTGGATCAATCTCCGTCCTCGTGTCTCCAGGTACTGTCATGGCGATCAAGATTGAACTTAATAGTGTCGGTCCATTTACAAGTCTAATGCTTGGTGCCACAATGACTGCTGAGTTTGTCGTCCTCATCTCTTTCTCCGTTGCACGTATTATCACATCCATTTATTGTGCTGAATTGGAAGTTTCAATGGTGAATCTAATTTTTACCATGTCGATTGTTGCATCCAATGTCTTGATGGGTGCTATTCTAGCTGGTGTCACTCTTATGATCTTTAAAATTCCAGGTGGAGAACCTTATCATGAACATGATGAAGAACATGGTGCTGATGAATATTGTGATCAAAAGACGACGGAAAATGTTCCAATTGCTCATCCAAATCTTGAACCGATGATCTCTGACATTAATCCAGTTGATGAAGTTCATTATACTTCAGAATCGTGTTGTCTTTCATCGAAGAATGTGTTGGCACTGAAAGGATTTCTATGGCTTTCTATGGGTTATATGTTTTACATCTTTAGCTCACTCTTTGCCGAAGTTACAGCAGCAATGTTTGGGTTATCATGGGAAATCAAGTTTGAAGGATTATTGGTGCTTATGGTTGCATCGTGTATTGCTGGTCATCATAAGCCTATTCGTCATGATATGCACATGATCCTTGATACAGCAGCTCCATACATGTTTTTACCATTCTTTGTAATGACAGGAGCCTCATTAAAACTTGATCAAGTGGTTGCTGCTGTTCCACTCATGAGTCTCTATATTGTATTGCGCTATCTCTCCGTCTTTATTGCCTGTTATTGTGGTGGTCGCTTTGTTCTGAAATTGACACCTCAACAATACAATAATTTATGGCTCACATTAGCACCTCAAGCTGGTGTAGCACTTGGTTTAGCTAGTGAAGTACAAGCAATGAGTGATGCATCATGGGCATCTGAAATTTCTGCAACTATTGTTGCTGCTGTCGTCGTGAATCAAATTATTGGTCCTGTTTTGTGTGGAATTGGATTAAGTCGAGCAGGTGAAACGTATAAAGATCGAATGTTGGCAGCTGAAGCATTAAAAGGTGATATGGACAATCTCGACAAAGGAAATTTAGGGGGTACACAAGTTCAAAACTTTCAAGGAGGAGCTTTAAGTCATAGCATGTTGGGACCTCGATTTAGTACTGTTCATGGTACCCGTGCATCAAACTTTGATGCTCGTCGTACAGTCACAAGTGGTGATTTATCGTCGTTTAATAAGATTCAAAATGCTGTGGTGATTGGTGATGATGAAGTTGCATTTGAAGCAGCTTTAGGCTTATCATTGTATGGTGCACATGTCACGGTGCCTCTATTAGATGAAAAACGAACGGAACAATGGCGAAAAATGAATGATACGATTCTTCAACATACTGATTTGATTTCGTATCGCAATACATTAAAAGATCGTGATGGAACTCAAGCAATGTCAACAGCTGATGTGATTATCTTTACGGGTGATGCTAATCGTACACGTGAAAATGTACGAATGTTGAAAACATTATTAGGACATTCGCATCCTCGTATGATTGCTTTCGTTCCAGATAGCAAATTTAGTAAAGAGATGAAAACTCAAGGTGTCTTGGTAATTCAACCATCGATTGCCATGGCTAATATTGCTACACGAATGGCTTTACTTGATCAAAAATTGGCCGAATCGTTATCGAATGAAATCAGTACAACAAGTGAATTTAGTACAGCAGCTTACTTTATGCATGCCGACAATCATGATTTCTCGGAAATGCGATTTGAAGGTCGTCGATTGGCTTTGAATCATAATGTTGTGAATCATCATTCAGTTGATTATGATCGTCTAGCTGATGCACTTCGATCTGAGCGATTGCCAATGCCTCCACCTCCACGACGTGTAGCAATGTATGGTACTTCATCAGCGGATGGATATGATCCATTTAATCAAGATAAGAATCTTTCGGAATTCTTTGTTGTACATGATGAACATGATGAACATGAAGTAATCATGAATGCACATTATTCATCTCGTCGCAATCCAAATCTTTCACTTCAGCGATCTTCGATTATGTTTGGATCAAGTCAATTACGTGGTGGACGACGTACACCTCGAGGGAATAAATCGATTTACTAACAAGTCAATTTAGAAACAACTGGAATTCTTTTTTTAAGTCGTGAGTTTAATTGAATATCAACTTTGCCAAATTGAACTTTTTCCACGGGACAGATGGAACTGTGAGTTACATATTGTATACATGTATACTTGCTTTTACTAATAACATAACCAAGTACTAAAGCTGTGCCGATTTTACGGTCGTGTACTGTATCTGAAATTTGATAGAAGATCAAAATTCTAGTGTTAGAATCTAAAAATCTGATACGTTTAAATGCTTAATTATGTAGTAACGTGACTTTGATTTTTTGTGACGTTAGATCCTTTCAAATGTCATAATACACAACGCTGCTACTTGGCTACTTTTCAATCTGCTTCTTCCATTTTCGCATCGCGCTGATATCGTTTCACTTGCTGCCGACGAGTAGCCGTAGCTTGAACTTCTTCAGAGAGTTGTCGTAATGTAAAATTAGGAAAGACTTGCTTTGTTATCATGTGCATGCCTGTCATGGGTGAGATATCACTAGTTTTCAACCAATGTGTAATAGCTTCACGTTCATAACTATGTCCATCTGCAGCAACAACTGGATCGACCATTGGACAGCCAGTGATTGGACAGATGAGCTGCTCTGGCACTGCTACTTCGATATTTTTCTCAATCAATTCATCGTGATTGCTGTCATTAAAAGTCTCCCATTGTACCATCATCTCGTCTTCTGTATCTTCCGAATTTACGCTAGCAGCCGTAAATGCACGTACAATGTGGCCACGATTCATACGAGGTCCACAATCCACTAAATCGTCATCGTATCCTCCATCGTTTGTAATACGTCGGGGAGTACTCCAGTAAACTCGTATAAACTCATGCTTAACTTGTCCAAAAGCATCTTTTGAGCTTCGTATCAAAGTTTGAACTCCAGATGATATTCCACGATGAAGAACATCCTTAACACTATGCTCAAGTGTCAAATATGCTTGTATTCCAAAAAATGCAATGAAAGCCGCCGAGTTTTCCACTTGTGTTCGTGGTGTATCTGGTACAGCAAGCCAAACTCGCTGTACATTTGTAACTACATTAAGTTGTTGAACACGACGAACTTGATGTTGAAGTTGTTCCGAAGTATCATGAAGTAGCGATGGTCGACGTTCCACATGAAGTAAATTTCGATGGATTTCAAATCGTAGTAACCAACCTTCTTGACTTTGAGTCTCGACAAAAATTTGATCTTGAAACACCTCTAAAACTACCATTCGTGCATTAGGTGGTATAATCTTTGCATAATATTCAAATCCACCAAATCCTGTAAGACGTACAATATCTCCTTTTTCGGGTTCTAATCCATTTGATGCTGCAGACACGTCAAAATTTAACACTAAGTGTAATTGACCAGCATTCTGTCCATCTTCATCAATCAATTGATACCATTTTCGAGTACTTGAAGTACTAGACAAAAGACATGGTAAAACTGGCACATTCACACTTCCAAGTAATTTTTCATTATGTCCTTGAATATAAACATGAGAAGACGCAACTCTTGGAACTTGAATCTCATCAGAATGATACACTTGAACGTAAAGTTCAGGAGCACAAGGATGAAATGAGTGCGAATTCGTAACTGATTTGGAATGAGTCACAACATTTTCAATCATTTTGTGAAATTTTCCTACGACATGAGCATTTTGACTATCAAAAGTCTCAAGAATTTCACTCTCAGATGGTAATGGTACGTGAAATTTTCCACTTTCTTTCCAATTTGGATTTAAATCGTGAAATTTCATACTTGACACAAAATGGTCGCGATTCAGTGATAACACGACGTAAGGATTTGCGTAATTTGGAGTCCATTTTAATAAACTTCCAAACACAGCGGGTGGAAGATTACGCGCACCAAGGATATCAACACTTAAGACTCCAGCTGAAGCTTGTGTCATGCTTGAAAACGTTTGGATCGTATTAGAACTTGAGCTACAAGATGCCATGATCTTAACGAGTGAAGAAAAGGAATGGACCTGATTTGAGCGACGGGGTGGGGAGGACCAATTTTAGTCCCACTTCAACATGAGAGATAAGAGATTGAACAATGATTTGAGAACAAATAGGACTAGAAATAGGAAACTTGTCGATAAGTAGTATAATTTGTATAATGGAATCCTTGACATAAGAACATTTGAGGGAAAACGTACTTTGTAAGATTTAATGTAATTTTTCATGACGTAACATTTTGGCTGGCCATAATTGGTCGAATTTTTACCTTAGAAGGCTTTTTCAGATTATCTTCTTCCATGAACTACGGATCTGATGCCGCTAAGTGTGCGTTCTCAACGTCACCTACACTTACAACGTCATCTGATAGTGAAATATCTGAACGTGACGCACTAATCGACTCAGATGCACTTCATTTGAACCATAAAACGTCACACAAACGTCGTCACTCATCATTCGATTGGCTACTTGGTATCACGTTTCTCGTCTTTGTTGCGCTCATTTGGACGTTTGCTAGTGTACTCGTGCAATATATTTTCCATACTTTGAGCTTTCAAGGACCATTCTTTCTCACGTACGTAGGTATATCGCTTTTCTCTGTGAATTTACCACTCTGGTACGGGTCGCAGGTACTGATTCCACGAGTAAAAGCCTGGTTTCGACGTGATCATTTGAGTCACAATATGACGTTGCAGAACACGAAAGCACAAGTTAATTACATGCAGATTTTTCGTATTAGCGCCATCATCTCACCTCTTTGGTTCATTGCTAATTTTACTTACAATGAAAGTCTCAATCTCACAAGTGTGTCGAGTAGTACTATTGTAAGCTCCACTTCTACAATCTTTACGTTTCTATTGAGTGTCGTAGCTCTTCAAGAACCTTTTGTTTGGATGAAATTAGCTGGTGTATTGCTTTGCATGGCTGGCAATATTTCTACAATATTCAATGATGTTGGTGCTCAAAGTGGTTCCGATCATGTCTTAGGAGATCTTGTCGCACTCTTTGCTGCTTTTATGTATGGCGTCTATACGACAGCAATTCGACGTTTGATTCCAGATGACGAGAGTGTGAGTATCTCACTATTTTTTGGATTTATTGGAATTTTAAACATGGTGTGTCTACTGCCAATTGTACTATTACTTCACTGTTCGGACATTGAATCTCTTAGCGGATTGTCAATTGAGATTCTCATTCTAATTGGAATCAAAGGGCTATTTGATAATGTGCTTTCCGATTATCTATGGGCCCGTGCTGTGCTATTAACATCACCTACAGTTGCTACAGTTGGACTATCTTTGACAGTCCCATTGGCTATTGTGGCTGATTTTTGGTTTCATAACATGTTGCCTACGTACATCACGCTCCTCGCCTCTGCACTTGTAATTGGTGGCTTTGTATTGATTAATATTGGCACGAGAAAGAACCCTCACGAGTATCATGTTGTGCGCTCCACGGACCGCTCGGACATTAATTTCGGAACTTGCCCACGCAGCAACAGCGTCGGTAAATCTGAAGTTTAAAGCGATGATACACAACTCTAACGTTTATTGACTTTCAGAATACGTTTGCGTACTCTAGCCCCAAGAATTGTTAAACAAATCAAGTTCACGAGTAATAAATGAGATGATCTTTGTGTTTCAAGTTTTTCAATTCAAGCTTATCGTCTCTCACTTTCAGTGATGGCTTCCAGCTATAATAAAAACTTAGCGGTAGAATTTGACTCCCAAATCTTTTAGTCTATTCTCCAGCGCTTGAATAGGATCAGACTCTCTCAATCTACGTTTTGCTGAAATAGCTTTCTAAAATAAACTTTTTTGCCTTCGATTGTATATCCAACCAATCTTGGAGATGAATTTACCTGTAATGAGCCCTGAGAATGGAGACGAGAGAGATAAGATCAGCGAATTATCGTCACCGAGTGAATTGGTCGAGAAAGCTAAGACAGAAGAGTCGAAAGATCTTGCAGTGACTTTCCTTGCATCCCCCGTAGATCGCTATGGCTTTCTCGTCACTGATAAGTAAGTAAATTGATATTGTTTGACTAGTTACTGTCGACAATTCCAATACTTTTAATTGCTTCATCCAGGCGATTTCATGATAGTCATCACATTTACAAGCATGCAGTTTGGTTAGAGAATCGTCGTACACAGAAGTGGCTTAAAATGATCGGTAAACAGCTTGAAGACTGGGAAATCTGCCGATTTCGGCATGCTGCTATTTTAAAGAAACGAATTCGTAAAGGAATTCCAGAAGCTTTGCGTGGTCGTGTGTGGAGTTATCTTGCTGGATCTTCACAAATGTTATCTAATAATTCAGGCATTTACCATCAATTAGTCCAAACGATTGGGGTACCTTGCGAAGAAACTATTGCGCGGGATATTGGACGTACTTTTCCAAAACACACACTTTTTCGTGATCGTTCTTCATTAGGTCAATGTGCATTGATGAATATGCTTAAAGCATATTCATTACACGATCCAGAAGTTGGGTATTGTCAAGGAATGGGATTTATTTCAGCTATGTTTCTTTGTTATATGCCAGAACAACAAGCTTTTTGGTTGCTTGTAGCATGTTTGAATCATAAACGGTATGGACTCGCCGATCTCTATCGTCCGCGTATGCCCAAAGTATTAGAGGTGACTTATGTCTTTCAAGGACTTTTGAAACAACAAATGCCACATCTTTCAACTCATCTTGAGAACGAAGGCTTACATCCGACTATGTATCTCACTCAATGGTTTCTTACTTTATTTACATACAATTTTCCTTTTGACCTGGTTACACGAGTCTGGGATGCTTTTCTACACGAAGGATGGAAAGTCATTTATCGCGTTGCTCTAGCACTTATGAAGATCTCTCAAAGTATGTTATATTGTCAATTTTATGATTTTAATTGTTTTGAATGATATTTTGCATATTTTAGAGATTTTGATGAATTCCAAGTTTGAAAGTATCATGGAATATTTTCGCGATCTCCCCAATAAGGTAAATAGATTCGGAAGCTCATTGTGTTTGGTATGTTGTTCATCATGTACATGCAATCAGGTGGACACTGATGACGTCTTGGCTATAGCATATCGAATGCCGATCAAACGAGCTCAAATTTCTCAATTAATGGATGAATATTTCAGCTCATGTGAAGCTTCATAAAAATGTAGTAATATTACTTTTTGTATATTATTATTACTTTTTGAAAAAAAAAACTAGACTGGACTTAATCTAGTTTAGTAGAGGTCGTAGCAAAGTGCTTTTTAAGTCGAGGTAGTATAATACCACCAATACAAGCGACTACAATAAGTTGTAGTGTCGTTGCTTGGTCAATAATATCTCCACGAGTTCGTAGCTTACGTAGTATAAGTCCAGCTTTACAGCTTAAGAAATTGTATGGAATCAGACCGATCAATGGACCCAGAGTGAACTGGCTTAATGGAATGGCCAAATGAGGCGATGCCATGTTGATAAACCAATTTGGTGTGAATGGAAAGACTCGCAAAAAAATCATGTACAACGTCATTTCGTCACGATGTACGTCCAGCATTTGTTTCAAACTTTCAAGTTTGTGAGGAAAGAAACGTATGACGACGCGGTGACCAAAATGGCGGGATAAGAGGAACATAAAGATGGATCCGAGTGTATTGTAGACCAAGCAAAGAGGAAATCCCAGCGTCACACCAAACAATGCGCCACCAAGTAGATTAAAAAACACAGTACCCGGGATAGCAAACGTTTGGAGGTACAAGTAACATCCCATATGTGCGAGCAGTAGTGAATTCAGTTGACGCTCTGCAAGCCGTTGTAATATTTCACCTAGTTGTTGAGCAGTTTCCAAAGACGTAGGAAAGTGAAGCATTGACCATTCATCGTTTGTAAGCGAAGAGATAATCAATGAGTGGAGAGTCACGCCGAGGAGTAGCGTGCTTGCCACGAAGATTAAACCCACAAGCTGAACGTCGCGGTGCCAGGCATGACGCGGCTTCATTATTGAAACGTGAAGATGGTTTGAGTTATCGATGAATAGCTTCAGAAGCAGAGAAAGATGTCAGTGCGTTTGGTGGCGAACGCGGCCAACGTTTAAGCGTTGGACGACAGTTCAAACGTCTTTTTTATCAGATGCTTTGGTCAACTTTAATACCTTGGATTGTACTAAATTTAATAAAGCTTTTACGAAATATTACACATACAACTAAACCTAGATAACATACAACTGTTTACCACGCATAAAAATGCATGCATTCTACTGATATTTGAAACTTTATACTGTGGTGTGAGACAATATAATATGTATATACTCTTTTCTTATATTAAGTTTAGAATTCTTGCGAATATACCTCCTGATCCATCTGATGGCAATGCTACAAATTTCACGACGCTCGGCAGCTCTGGTTATGATCGGTCTAAGGGGATGTATAGGGGAGTCTTGAGTCATAACAAAGCCACATTTTGTGAAGACAATTGTTTCCAGGCAGTGCGAAGACACAACATCACCCGAATTTTCAATTAGAAAAGTAAAGTCCTGATACCAGTTCACTTAGAGTCGGTGAGGCGCACAGGCTTTCCAAATCATAAGCCAATTCACAAAGTATCTACTACTAAGGTCTTGATATTTCTTGAAGATCACGGCAGATAGAGATGAGATAGGAAAGTTTCTCGTAGTGTCTGCTGCTCGTATATTGTTCTAGCTCACAACTTCCCTGCACAAATGGCTTCACTATGACCATTTTTATCCCGTAACTTAATCTAACACAAAGTACTCATCTTTTGATATACGAGCTATTTACGTCCCAAATTTTGGTGGCAAAGATCCGTTCCATTTTCAACAGAAGATATAAGTTGCCAAAGTTATTTTACTCCTTATGTGATAAACTTCCGGAATTCTTTGTAGTTGTTGCTGTATATAATATGCAGTCCTGAAGATGCTCAAATTGAAAAGTACGCACCGCATCTTAAAAGCTACAGTCAAATATTAAACCTGTTCTCTCCAAGTAATACTGGAAGAGTATAGTATCTACTTAAGCGTCTAAAAGAATAGATTGCTACATTAGTATCCTTACTTCAACAGCGATCAATGAAACAGCAACAAAAATCTGGAAACGTGTAGATATCTCGGTGCTATGATTGGTGCAGAAGTTTCGAGCGTTCTACTGTAAGCTCAATAAAGTTCCATCTGTCTCTAAATTAAAAGAAATGATTCTACTTGAAGAAATATCCGCCTTGAAAAGTTATCCAGAAGGTAGCACTGACTTGATGTCAATACATTATGCTTAGATTAGACACGTTGTCTGATCGAGACAGTATGACAAGAAAAATCAGTCAAGAATTGGTATCCTCAAATGAAACGAACAGGACAATCCTTTCGTTGATAGAAATGCAGTGAAATGTAACTGCACTAAACTCGACGTATCTATATATTTTGTTCATTCGATTTCTTGGCCCACTCTATTTTATAAATTATATCACTAATCGTTTCAATCTAAAATGTTTAATAAAAAAATCTAAAATGGGGGTGTCGGAAACTCCCGCGATGTCCGAAGAAGTAAAGACTCGAGTTTTGATGGTTTTGTAGGGCAAATAGGTGTTCGATCCACATCTGCATCTGCCACTCCCATAACTTGTGGTTCTTCTGCAAACGATACACGTGAAGGTGTGCGCTTCATCTCGTGCTTTGGTTGCTGTAGCGTATCTACCAAAGCATGATCCACTTTTAAACGTTGATACTTGAGGGTAAAACGTTTCATGTACGAATCAGCAGCCAAAAGGAAAGGAAGTGCCTGCTCTGGCTTGTTTTCGTGCCATAATTGAGCACCACGGTCTCGTGCAATGGACATGGCACGCCACAAGACCGAAATATCGCGGCTACTGGCATCAAATCCACTCAAAAGGGGAAATTCTGACGTACTTGTTGGAGACGATGTGACGCTTTCTTGTGCTTGAATTAGTGCCATAGTCCACGTTTGATCGGTTGCCATATGCAACGTTTCATGTCGTTCCGTCTGTTCTAACAATTGCATCATGCGATTGCGTGCCAAATCGAGGAATCGCACGCATGTATGTTGCTCGTATACGCCCATTTCTTTCAAAATGGCCAGTTCTTTCGCGATAGCAAACAAATTGCGTTCCATGACGACACTATTCATGTCCGAGGCCCATGCTTCAACAAGGATCATCTTAAGCTTAAGCTGAAGTGAGAGACCCATAAGACTTCGACGCAAAAGTTCTTCACCTTGTTTTGTAGCAGGAACCGATTTCTTTGCACGTGGTGACATATTCAAAGGCATAGCCAGAAATTTACTTGAATCCACTATTTCAATACTGCGACGACGCTTTTTACTGGCAAGTGACGTTGGATCGGCTTGTGGTAACACGGTCATCATATTCTTCAGGTCGATGAATATTTGGAATATATGAGGCAGATTCTCTCGAGCTCGAGTATTAGAAAATGAGCACAGAGGAGCAGTCGTCTGTGGATTTTCCGTCAGATCCAGCCGTAGAAACAGCCAGTGCTGGACTGGCAAGGTAACGGTTAAAGCCAAGCCAGTCTTGATTTTGTCCACTCTCTAGTGGATTTAAAGAGCAGGTTTAAAATCAAAAGTTCCGGCTCCCATGCCATGTTGCCGATTGATTGCTATGAGATAGATATTTAGACTGCCAACAAGTCAGTAAAATACTGTCTTGCTCCCACGGCCAGTAACTTTTGCCTGCTGGTACCACATTTTTTAGAAGGTCTATCCATAGAAGCTATTAGCATTGGAGATCCGTTGAGCTTGTCACAAGTTGTAATAATAACCAACTTAAAAGTTTAGACACACAAAGAAATTGTGGTTATATATAAATGTTGTAAGACAATAGAGATGTATGAATCTCTAATATGTACAATGATACTACAAATAGCACTTCTGCAGTCATATCGTCGATTTGAAGGCTTACCGGGCTACTATTTCGAACTTGATTCAAGTATTTGCTCTGGGATGCTGGGCAAGATGTGGTACCTATACAACGATTTCAGATCTTCTCGTCGCCATATTGTACTGTGCTCTATCGACAAGACTGTATGCAGCTGATGTGAATGTGTAATATGCTCATGAGGTCAAGTGCAGCATGAGGCAAGTTTCTCAAATTGGATTCATCTTCTTGTTGGTTTCGTAAAACGTATCAAGACTTAAGAGTCTCTGAAACTCGTCCTTGAAGATAATTATGGCGCACGTTTGTACCCTTGTGCTAAGTGCAACTACGAAACCAGAAGGTGTAGAACTAGGATCTGCAAGGGCGGACATCGGGAAAGAAGCTACTCAGGCTCAACAAACGTAGTACTGTACCTGTATTAACGGTTTTTCGTGATTAATACAAGCATGACAATGGGACGACAATGTTATTGCGCATTGCGACTTAAAAGCGTAATTTTATTGATTCCAATTTCAAGGTCATTACAGATGTGCTGCACTATTGTTGACAATTCTTTATTCAATACCATAAGTTAGGGTCAAGACATATGGGTCTTACCAGCTTTAGTTCTTGATTTCAATGTTGAGGAAAGAGTATACAATATAGCATTAAGTCATAATACTACGAATCATATGCATGAAAAGATATGCTTCGTATGTCAACGCATCTTAAAGAAAATCGATTTCACCTTTCGATCACTGAGAAGCAGTTGGTCATACACGTTCTTTATGTTTGGGTGAAAAGTAAGTTACATGGATAACGCTGCACCATGCAAACAGAAGTTTGAAGCGTTTAAGCACAAGAAATCATCGAGTCACAGAAATTACGCAATAATCATTACTTCTTTGGATTTAGTGCTTGTGATAGAAAGTGGATGTTTTTGCACAGCATAGTGCTTTAACCTGTATCGACAATGAACTGAGGTTGAGTTTTTGAGAGCTAAAATATGGTTGTCGTCGTGTTGTCATAGTATATGAAGGACAAGCATGGCATTTCTCTTGCTCCTGTCGCGACAATATGATAGTTCACAAACTCTTACCGCCTGAGCATCCTCGTCTAGTCCTTTCTATCTCTAGGAGGGATGCAATCTTGAGATTGGGGAAAATAAAAAATCATCCCATCCATCTAACGTTAGATTCCGTTTGAATACTTCTACGCTGAGCAAGTTACTGCTGGATTCCTACCAGACAATGTAGACAAGCAACCACCTAGTCAGCCTCTTGACGCTGCACTAGATACTTGACAATCTGTTAGATAGTCTCGAAAAAGAGACACGCACTGCTCAAAACTTCAGCAACACTGCTGCTTTTGAGATCAATGAAGTTTTTAAATCTATTAAATCACAAATGAACGCAAATCGGATGTGAATGAAGCTGCAAGCAACGGCTGGTCTGGTTCTCGACTACTATAATTTGAAATCTCTTAAATCTGCTTCATCAATATATTTAAGGCCATGCGAAGGTATCAAACAAGACTAGTGATTTGCACATGCCAAAAGGTATACGATTTCAAGTCAAGATTCACTAATCAATCAATACGCAAGCTCAGATGATTCTCAATTTGAATCTCGAACAGATCGCTTAGCACGCACGCCACAATGATGAGGCATACTCGTGGAAAAAAGATTTGGCCTATGTGCATTGTTTACATTTCGTGCTGTTGGAACGGTCATGAGGAAGTTGATCCGGCTTTCAAAGGATCCCATCGAACCTATTTTCCTGAAGAAGCTACGCAAGCGACTAAAGCTTACCGTATCTTTATACGAGTAGAGTGATCGCAAAATGGACCGAAGAATGGCTTCGATCTTATTAATCGAAAGTGCCCGATTTATATGTTAAGTGCGTGCAAACTGATTCATTACCAAGCCAGTTTAGTGTCGGGGTCCCTACAGGTCTGATTTGTCATCGTCAAAATGACTCTAAATGCATGGCATGCAGTTTGAATAGATTGCTCGCGCTTAGATAGGCGGCTGAGAATGTTCTCATGTAGGACCTGTACTATCCTCATTTATTCTTAGGCTTTCTTGTCAATCTGAAATTCGAGGATGGCCATAATCTAAATCAGAGACCGTATATTACTCAATGATACGAGACAAATACTGATGTCTACGCATCATTTTGGTGGCCAATAAAGTGCGATATGAACCAACACTTAGCTGCTGCACTTCAGGACCCTTAGTATCTTTCATCACGCCTTTGTGGACGATCATACCAGACCACGACGTCAAGGCATGATTACAAATATTGTCAACATCACAATTTTACCCGCTCGAATTGTAATATTTCATTTATGACTTATAGAGGTGAGTACGAATGTTTTGAGTAAAGAAAATATACTTTGTCGTCTGAAATTAAAAAAGTATTAAACCCGTAAGCACTTAGCTAGATACTTGAAAAGCCAGCACACATTTACGGGTCGTGATGCACCGATCGGTAATCCTCTATCGACCGGCACTATCAGTAAATGCCTCCTAGGCCTTGGATGCGGCAGATCGCTATAGCCGCCATAGCTTTTATAACACTTTTGATTACTTTAATCAAGCGTCGTTACCATACTGAAGTCCTGGTAGACCGCGTGAGCCAAATTATTCATCTTACAGCTTTTAGCAACGCCATCACCAATGAAGATTTAAAGACACATCGCAAAGCAGTTGCGAAGAGCGCATTGATTCGCAACTGCTAGCCTAGTGGCAATTTGTGGATCGCCGATCACCATGTTTATAGTGCCGTACGATGCATGATTTAGTCGTAAATACCAAAGTTCTGTATCACTATGTGCTTCGTGGCCTTCAGGCGTGCAGCAAATTAGATGACAATCTATTTGTCCACCTTCAAAGAGTCATATGACTTTGTGTTGTAAGATGTCGTATTTGGAAGCATCCAACGCCGAGCAGAAAGCCACGACTCAGTACACCAAGCTATAATTGCTACAATGGAGAAAATAAGACTTGTTGCTCATCTCAAGCGTACGCGAAATTGCGAAGTCCACGAGAATCTTGACGGTTCCAGTCATGACAAATTGTTGTCTGGAACGAAGCTGATGATCACGTCCCGGGGAAGCGCATCAGTGTAACGAAGTGCCAGCTGAGTGGGTCAAGTGTGGTATCAAAAAAAAACAACAAGCTCCTAAAATGGTGATGCCCAGTTTGTTGGCACCAAGTATTCTTTGTTTCTTATTTCACGTCAATATCAGCAAGAACTCTTGAAGCACGTGCTGAGATCAAGTCGCAAAACAATCACTACGGCAGAGCAATATGCTGAAAGGAGATTTTTGCACTTCAAGTAGAAATTGATACCCGCATACATGCCAACTAGTCAGTATGATAGAATCACTATCTCACCATTACCCTCTACCTCGACCCATCGAGATGGTACAAGTGTGTCGTCTACATTGCTGCCTCGTGTTCACGAGTGTGTAGAACGACTCAACGTGGTGCTGAAGCGGTGTCTGCGGCTTTCACTTGCCTGCTGATGTTCGTGCTGGACCACATCGAAAAAAATAATGATGAATTTTATGAAATTGTTTTAGCAAATGTAGAAAAGTGATGATATCGCGCACATTAAATTTGTGAATTATTCAACCAACAAATTCTGATTGAGCGACGTTCATCTGCTTAAAATTTGAAGACTGATCTTCATGTCAAACTTATGTGCGATCGATCATCCACTTTCCTATGTACGTTTGTGTCAGCATTAATTTATGCCTTAAGCTTCCAAAGTTTCAGCTTAAAACCAAAGAAGTCAGAAGCGGTTGATGAAAAGGCTGACAATACCACGACACGCGTTATGTTGTATAGTAATGGATTCATTGTCAAGCCAGAAACTTTGTTGGGCGAATTGAGCTCCTAACGCAAAAAGAAAAGACAAATTACGTGGTCAGTCGCAAGTAGATCTGAATACAGAAGGCAAGTCCATTTCTGGGTCACACGCACCTTTAACAGCTTACATGCAAGCTTCAAGACGTTGTTGGATACGAGAAGTTTTTCTTTTTTGTGAGGTTTGGCCAGGAGTCGAAGATAGACATTCATCTGATAATCAAATTATTAAATAGCAATGAGTCAATCAATTGACGAGGAGAATAATGTACGAAAGCAATTGAGACCTGCTCAGTCAAGAGTAACGAGGTATTTTGATACTTCTTGTTGATGTTTGAGCCAAGCATCATGAACCGCAGCATGAAAACACTACAAAAATAAACACACCAAACAAGCACGCATGTTAATCAAGACTTGTCAAAACATCGCTGTCAGTTTATGAAACAACGTACGAGGACAACATGCACCATATTGCAACTTCGATGTGAACAATACTCTCGTAGGATGGCGACGTAGATCCTTCTGAGACGGCTTGCATGCCCATGACAACGAGTAGCACAAGAATGATAAGAAACGACGTAGACACAATCTCATCCGCCGCGCGTTGGCGCCCTTGACGCTTGAGCCATGTGCGCCCACCTCGAAGTGAGATCCATGCCTTGATGTTCACTACATTTTTTAGACGAAAATGAGGAAGTTTGGCCAATCTCGAGCGCCGTGACGATGTTAACGCTGTAAAGCACTTAGCATATCTAATATTTGCACCCGAGTAAACGCATTAGACATCATCGTTTAATGCACCAACAATGGAAACATGGTGTTCGTACAGAAATCGGCGGTGGTACGTGACTTCGGCATCAGCGAGCGCAGCGAAAATGATGGATGCCAAGTAGTATGTCGACAACATGCAAGACATCGAGATAAAAGATGCTCCAGAAACAAGGTCTTGCATGTGCATGAACAAGCGGTGTGCAGAAAGCTCTTTAAATAGTAATAGCATCCAAGCAAGTACTTCAAGCGGCTCTTGATTTGCTGGGAAACAATCGTATTCCTGACATTTAATTGTCCAACGCAGTACTATCGGTACCAGAGCAAGCATCACGGCAGACACCTCTGCAACCTTGCGATAAAACATCCGCGTAGGAGTAGCTTTTACCTGCATATTCCAATCAAAACAGCAAAATAATCCCTCATCTGAAAGAACTCAATGAGAAGAAATATCCACTTTCAATACCTTTACGAGAATTGTATTTCGAAGATCCGAGATCGACATAGCGCGTTTGACTGGAAACCCATTTTCCCAAACACAGACAGTAACGCGTCTTCTAGCGAGCTGATCTGCTACACCGTCACGTTCTGGCCCTCCATTCATAAGCGGAACGCGTGGTGGTAATGACATAGGCGGTTTGCTTATTGAGGTTCGTATTGTCTGCATCAAAGCACGAAATTTCAGCGGTTATTAAAGTAGCACATTGAAAAACATACGAACTAGCTTACGCGCTTTGGTGAAGTGGGAGCAGAAGAGCTTTTAGGAGGGAACATGCCGGTACTAGGATCTACCTCATCACTAGATGAAGACGAATTGCCACTATCTTCGTCACTATCTGTGCTATCAGAATTTTCGGATTCAGCAAGTCCAGAGCCAAGTCCTGATGCGGCATGGGAAGTATCTGACTCGGAGCTGCACACAGTCTCGACTTGTTTAAGAATAGGAGACAAAATTTTGCATGCTGCGTCTGTATCTGGTACTTGAAGTGCACTTGACACGCGACCATAGCCAATCGCGACTAAAACTAGTAGAAAAATAGGGAAAAACATCTCGAACGAATTGTACGGTAATGTGGTCTTGCGGTAGAAAATGTATATACAAACAGCTATACTGTGCAAAACGTAGAGCGCAGTCGCTTTCTCATATAGCCATGGTGTTTGTTTCCAATACTTGGCATGAAACGGTAGAAATAGAGCACGTATGAATCCCTCCTGTACAAGTTTACGGTCATGGCTTGAAGGTTTTGTGTGAAATAGAGCCGAGCTATAACAAGCAATAAAGACACGTCATCAGAACGACATAATACAGTGCGATAGATTGATTTTTAACAAACCCTTTTATTAAATCAAAGTCAATCAGCTCACGCGTTAAGTTCATCTCGCGCTTTAAACGCAACTGTTGCTCGAGCATTTCAGGTGAAGACTCGGCCTTGCGATGTAATCGCTTTGATTTTAAACTGCTTGATGGTGTGCTAAATTCATCTTCCATCATGTGATTTCGGTGTAATTATCGTGTACGCGGTGTCCACTTTGTTCGAAGCAATAGGGCAAGTTAATGCTGACGTAAGACCGTTTGCGCTAAACTGGTAAATTTGGATAATGACGTCTGTTGTCGTTTGAAAGTGTATGTAATACCTTTAAGAATAAATACCTGTATTAAAATGATGGTATTTTGTTGTGATATTTATAGTCATGATAGTAGAAGAAGAACTTGATACTACTCATTGAACGATTGAACACAAAGAATTGCACTTACCGACTTTATAAATAGCCATGTCTAGATTTGTTATTCTTTGACTTTTGTCATCAAAATAGTTACATGTACATATTCACAAAGAAATTTGATTTTAAAAATTTCATGTTAAAGCTTTCGTTGCTTTAAGCTGTCAGTAAAGTATCTACGTCGCAAATAAATGCTTAGCACAAGTAACACGCTAATAAACATCGTTAAATGGACTATAAATAGCAGTGGACTGATCCAGAAACCACAAACGATACTTTTCCAACCCTGCGATAACGAGAGCAGATTAATTACATTAAGCCATTAGCCGTTTTTTTAAGTTTCTTACCTTTATCTCGCGACTTGTTAATGCGCTTTCACCATACTGGATAGATAGAAATTGCGTGACATTAAATGGCAATGGATACTCTTGACTAGAGTTGAGACTATAATGGACATTGCCTCGCTTTCGTTGTAATGGAAATAGCGACTTCTGCGGTACACAACCTCCGCAACACATGTGTTCCGTGTGCGCTTGCAAACCTTCTGAGCAGCACACGAGGTTGTCTTCGTTATCGTAATTTGGAGGTATCAGCACATTCTCATGAGCTGCCATCACCTCTTTGTGCGTCACCTCGACGTACCAGTAGATGTCAACCCATGTGCTTGTATCTGCTCTGTCGTACACCCGAATGCACGGGTCATGTAACTTTGGATCCGACCAGTAAAATTCATGGTTTTCCGTATCATATGTGAGTTTGACTTTGTGCGGGATAGTGTCTTCACGGTCATAAACGACTAATCCGACAGTCTCGAACTCGCTCTTGAGGGCCGAGATCACAGCACACGTGGTATTCATAACACCAAGATCTACGTCATACTCCCAAGGTATAAGCCCACCATCTCGGTGTATACCCAAGAGCGTCCCTTTGTCTAGCCAATACTCGACGTTATGACGATTGAGGATTTGCGAAGTCTTTGTCAATAACACCGACATGTGTTCACGTGTATCACATTTTCGGTAGATGAATCGTAGCATCTGTATAATTGCCGCTACAAACAGGAAGAACATTACATAGTAAAGGATGCGGCGGACCGATAAATGTAATGCTTTAGACGCGGGTACAGGAACGCGACATGGTAGCATCGCTACGTCGTGTGTGGAATGACCTTTTCAATAATGTTTTGTGTAATACCGGTACAAATTTGATGTTCTGCTATAGCAAAATATAACAATTACAATTGTTATATTTTGCTATAGCAGAACTTTTTCATGTGTATTTGACACATGAAAATTTTTACATGTCAAAGCTGGCAGTATTTTGTGGCCAGCATGATAAAAATTTTATTTCGAACAAATTTTTAAGCAGTCAAGAACTACTCTGGACATTTCTTAAGGTTAAGTGATCCGTCCGGAATCACTTGACAGAGTCAATAGAGTTGACAGCTTAGAAATGAACACATTTATCCCAAGCTTAGCTAATCCGTGGCAAACGATGTGTCACCCTGTTACTACCGCTCGATAACAGTAATATACCGGTATGACTATCTACTTTGTTTTATTATCGTGATGATAAAACGGGGCAAGCATATTGGAAACATGTGGAATAGTAAAACATGGATATACATAAGTGAAAATATCGGAGCACCGACCCAAGGCTACAAGCTGCAAGTCAGAAAGTTTTAACGAGAAGCAGTAAAAGGTATATCATTAGTGTCAGTCTATGTAGCGTTGACGCTACATGTATGTACTCTTGAGATAGCAGAGCGAACAAACAATTTTGGATATCTCATAACTTTGTTCCTGGTAGGAGCGCACGAACCCAACTGCTGTGTCGTTTCCTCTGAGGGTTAAAGCTTCCCTGTGCAAACCGCACGGCAGCTCCGTTGCACTTAGTTGCACAATCCATGACCTAGTCATAGGAGAACGACTATATTCTCTGCAATTTGAAATGTACGAATACATGTGTTGAGCACATATAGACCAGTAAAACAAAAGCTTGGCTGCCTTGGGTCCCAAGAGAATAAATTGACAGTCATAGGACCAAAAACGCTCGCCTGGAGGCGCATACCAGTGCCGATGAGGCACGTTCAGGGCGCCCCAGTCAAATGCCGGTGGAAGAACATATGGTTCACCCCCTGAGACTGTTATTGTTGCCAACTCAGGGACCGCGGTGAAAAACGTATTAATATTCGGATGATAAAGGCTCAGATGTAATATTTGTTTGGTCTTGCTCCGAACGGAGCCACAGCGCATCGCGCATGCGATTTTCTTGATAGGAGTAATGTGCAATATCTCGGTAAAAGAGGCGTTCTTAATTTTAATGAATTGAAGTGACAGTTGTCACGCGTGTTTGCATCGTCTAACCAAACGTTTTGGGTGCGTATTAAAATATTGCTCACCCGTCAAGGAAGGAGAGGACTGCTGAGCTATACCCGGAGGCTGAAAGTTCTAACAGAGATGGGAATGGCTTCAATCTTCTCGAATAGTTCATGAACGAGTGTGACATGCTCAGAGACTTTCCACGTCTATTTATTCTCTGTAGAGGAAGAGGTTGGCGTCGCATTCAGTGCAACAGTGCAGCAGTGAGAAGAGGACGAGGTGCCGGGAATACAAAATTTTGAATGCACCATATGCGATGGACCTTAGTCATGCTGATGATAGGGGGAGATTTTTTAGCTGCTGTGCAGCTCCGCCGTACCCGCTGATGTCTCATCTGCGGCTCTACAGAGCATATGCAGTTTGCGTACCCCCCCCCCCTTTTCAACCTCAGCCAATGCTAATGGGGGGTGAAA